CGCACTGTATTGTGTGTTATTGTTGCCATGGTTGCAGGTCGGGGCAGGCACAATTGTATTCTAGGCAATACTAATCCTTTTCTTTTTTCAGGGGGACGAGCAAGTGAAAACATTTAATACAAAATAGGCTAGCAAGCAGTTCGCGCCAGCGAAGAGTTTCGAATTTGTTATATCACTTATATTTTCCTATTTTCATTTGTTTTAATTTTTCAGGGCCGTATGCGGAATATTTTTCTGGTGGGGGAGGGGGAAAGATGCGTTAAAAGTTTTCGAAGAATCTCAAAAGCAAAAGGAGTGAAGGGAGTTCGAGCGACCGAACTGGTCAAGAGGGTACTTTTGCATTTTCAAAAGTAGAATTGAAGGATTTGGTATAGGCCTACACTACATTTTCAGGAAAAAAACTGTACGTTTTCAAAATATCTGGGGTCAACTGCCCCCCCCCCCCTGGTGCGTACGACCATGGTCTTTTTTTTTTAAATTTCCCCATTTTTATTCGTTTCCTTTTCTTTTCCCTTTTTCTTTCTTTTCTCTTCTTCTTCCTTTTTTCTTTCCTTTTTTCCTTTTTTCTCTTTCTTTCCTTTTTTCTTCCCTTTTCCTTTTTTCTTTTTCTTTCCTTTCCTTTCTTTTCTTTTCTTTCCCCTTTTTCTTTCCCCCCCCCCCCTGGAGCCCGTCAGGGGGGGGGGCACTCTGCCCCCTGCCCCCCATAGGTACGCCAGTGGGCAACAGTTTGAGAAAGTGGGAAGGGTCATACAATATTAAATTCCCATTGGTCAACAGGTCCACTTCCTTTCATGTTCCCCCCGAACTTGAATTCAGGGAAATCCTACCAGTCCTACAGTATAGCCCGAAACATGACTCATAACTTTGATGGATTAGGCCATTTGACCAGTCTGTATTCCTGGCCGAAACCAAAACAATAATAAAATGGTCAAGGGTGTATTCCTCTTTTGCTATGTACATAACAAAAGAGGAATACAGCCATATAATGATACTGAGAATCATGACGCCTACTACTTTGAAAACATTGAGAATGGCTGTGTAGAAAGACATATTGCCCCCAGGGGTAACATAAACTCACCCTTGACCATACGAAATTTGAAAGGAAATGGACATGAGAAAATTAAGCACCTAACTAGGAATAACAAGCACTACGTGCAAAACGAATGCGATTTTCTGACGAAGATAAGAAGAATATTTATGGGGCAGAATGTGAACGAAAACAAGGCAATGACGAAGGTCGTCATTGCAATAACATGCAGCCTTTTCACACACAGCTAAAATTCATCGTATCTATAGATGATTAGTATAAACGTGTTTAACTCAACAGTTTTAAACATGTTTATAGAAAATTTTCCCTGTGTGAACATCGTTTATACGATGTTGGGATAGATAATAATTTTACCCCCCCCACCCTGAAAATGATCTCCCCCTAAAAATTACCGAACTTATTATCGGGGTTGACTTCCCCTTTTATTGTTCTTGGTTGTCCCGGGGGGGGGGGGGGGGTCAATGTCCTATATAGGGGTTAAGTTTCAGAGATGGGGGTAATCGTCATCGGGGGTAATTTTCTGGGCGTAGTTTGAGTCGTCGAGGGGTAATTGTCATTTGGGTAATTATCCTTGGGAGTAGTTTTCTGGGGTGTAATTGTCCTTATTATGATAGGCGAATAAGGTGGGAGGCCGGGATTGAAGCCCCCCCCCCCCCCCCCGAAGAATGTTGCAATGATGTTTGGCCGTTCGTTCGAGCAACCGACAATTTCGGGTAACGATGTGGTCTATTGATTTGTAATTTAATGTAGGCCTACTAGTCATGAAGTTAAATTTTGTGACAAAATTAGATATGATTGATATTAAGAAATGCTTGAAGTTCGGTTCTCCGACAGTGATCACAATGACAAAAAATAGGTCCGGCTTTTAAAAAAGTTGCCAGGGTTGGTATAGATTTGCAAAAAGTTTGTATTCATGTTGTGTCGCCTTTTAATCCAGCGTCGTGGCTTTGTAGCGAAAAGAGTGCTTGTTTATAATACGATACAGGATGTTTCTTCGATTACACCCCTCCTTTTCCCCATTTTTCTTTTAGTCTCCCTCTTCAATTTTATATCCTTCTTTCTTAATACTTCTATGCTTTAGGCTATAATTATTTTTCAATTTTTTTTCTTCAATTGTTTGTGTGTTATCTAATTTTACCAACATGACCAACATGAATCATGACATTTTCGCTGCCATAAATTTCCCTCAGTTGACTGTGAATAAAATAAATATAGGGGTAGAAACTAAAATCCCAGTCTGTTGTTTCATGTGAAATAAACCTATATGAATGGCTATCGAAAGAGTAGTATAAATAATACATTAAGGGCATACGCCTGTCAGGCCTTTCAAATTGCTAAGGTGATTCTTACGTTGTTAGTTTTGCGAAAGTTTTATGGCGAATAAAAGGTGAAAATTTTTCATCTCTATCCATAACATAAATATCTCTCGGCAATAAAATGAATGAATATTGAATAAATAAATAGATGAATGGATGAATTTAACATGTAGCATTATGTAGAAAATGTTGGGGGGTGGGGGCAGTGGCGGATCCCGGGGGGCCCGGGCCCCCCCCCCCTTGAGAAAAAAATCATGTAAAATCACGTGATTTTTACCTTTTTGGGGGGTTGGGCCCCCCCCCCCTGGCGCTCAAGGGGGGGGGGGGGGGGGGGTGCAAATTGAAATTTTTTTGAGGATCAAAAAAAAAAAATGTGCTCACTACCCCCCCCCCCCCCCCCCCCCCCCATGGAAGTGAATCGACGACTTCGTTTTCAAGATCATTTCGGAAAGTTTTATCTTTCAAGTTGAACTATTATTATTGAATGCATAAAATACTGCATAATTTAGAACAACTAGAAAACAAAAAACACAACAACTTGAAGTCTTGAACAAATAATCAAACAGGAAACCACATTTGCGTCACATAGGCCTACCCTAAAATTGTAATGATGATGATTAAGACGATGTCGGCGATGATGATAATTCCTATGACGAAAATGCTATGCTTTTCCAACCAATATCCTAAAAATATACGCTAATTTATTTTTTAATCAAGATTTGAGAGATGTCGAGAATAATTTGCAGTTTAAAAAAAAAAATTAAAAAAATGAAGTGCCATTACTCTCTTTCCAAAGTGTTTACTTTAATAGTGGTAGTTTTTTTTTGACAAAATGTTGTTATTGTGGATTTTTTTTTCTTCCCCTCTCCCGATTGGCGATAGAACACTGAAGATTTGACTGAACACATTATTAAAACATCATAGACAAGTCGCAGGATTTTCCAAAGGCAGTAAAAAATTGTTTTTCCAGATCAGAAACTGATAAATAACAGTGCACTTGCATTAGGCCTACAGAGGCAAGGGAAGAAATAAAGAAAGAAATATCAATTATCAAAATAACATGTAGATCGAATTCTACTGGGAAGCAATTTGATTTGGCCTAACGTGTACCCGAGATGTTTCCTTTTTCTATACTTTTGATGCGCGCCCACCATCGGGCGGAATTAGGGCGGGTCTAGGCGGAATTAGGCAAGGAAAATGCCTCACGCAGACGGCGCGCTACGGACAATCGCTTATGATTTCGGGCGTAAGAATGGCATAGCTAGATTTGCTAGAATTTCGGCAACAAATTGGTATACATTAGCGCCTGTATAATTCATTTTCAGAGAAGTTATCTGAGAAAAACTGCCCATCGGGCGGAAACCGGGCAGGGTACGGTATGTCCCCTAGTAGATTAGCATAGTAGCATACACATGCTTTAGCAGTCACGCAAAACAAACACTCACAAATTATTAATCAATAAAATCTGAGAATGTATACTATTATCTAGATCCTGTAGGAATAAATCATTGTTACAATCTTTCCAAAAATCGGGGTAAAAAAAAAATTATTCCACTATTATGACCAACAGTGTACATGAATGACAGTGGCGGATCCAGGGGGGGGGGGGGGGGGGGGGGGGGGGGGCAAAGGGGCACGTATCCCCGGCCCCCAAAATATGTTAAAATCAGCCCTAAATTTGCCCAAAATGCACTAAAAAACAGGGTCGTGCCCCCCCCGGCCAATTTTTTTTTAATGCCAATGGCTGACCTAAAAAGGTGACCTTACCCCCACCCCCCAACGGAGCAATAAAAAAAGATGACCTCTTAACCCCCCCCCCCCCCCGCTTATTCAACCGCTGGCTGAGACGTGATTTTTTGGGGACCAAAAAAAAAAATGTCCTCTTACCCCCTCCCCCCCCCCCCCCCCCCCCCCCCCCCCCCCCCGCTTATTCAACCGCTGGCTGAGTCGTTGCGATTTTTTGGGGACAAAAAAAAATATACACTGTCGCTCATAAAGTTAGAATATTATTGTTTTATCCCAATTTATGCAATTATTTAAAAAATAATTTAAAAATAATAGATCTAGATAATAGTATACATTCTCAGATTTTATTGAATAATAATTTGTCAATGTGTGTTTTGCGTGACTACTAAAGCATGTGTATGCTACTATGCTTATCAACTAGGGGACCTACGCCCTTAAGTCATAAATGACAGTAATGAGGATTAATGCCCCACAAAAGGGCACTAATATAGCACATCGACACGGTTTTGATCCTGGGGCCTCACAGTTACGAGGCCATTGCTTTGTCACTGAATCATGACTGTATGCAGCGGGGGCTAGTGTAGGGGGCAGTTTCCATATATTAAAAAAAACAAAGAAAATGCAATAAATTTTCAATAATTTATTGCATATTACCCCGGTCCCCAACATAAAAAAATCCTCTGTGTTCCCATGCCTTGAGACATAATGCATGGCCTTCCAAGTATAGTACGATAATACTCTGTAAAGAGGTCTGTACTCAAAAGGAAGAAGAAGAGAAGTTCAACCTTCCTGACATTTGTGGTATACGACTATGAGGAAGTATCGTGCATTTAAATGTGTAATTGTATGAAATAGACTCATTCGATCGTTTTGTTTGATTATTTGCTGTGTGAATGTGTTTGTTTTTCAACGTCAATGATAATTGCAGTTTCCCACTCACTATCTGAGCAGGATATTGGAAACATCTTAAAGGCGAATTCAACTTCAACGCAACAAACGATTGGGTTTGATAACCTGTGATATGAAGTGAATGCTTCTTTTCTTGTTGGACCACATCGATACGTATTATCATGTTTCGTTTTTCATTACTGCAATGGTTATTCACTCTGATGTGGATGTTGACATCTTCAATAGGTTTGTATATATATCTCTAAGAGTTAGAAGCAGTGTATGTGTTTATGGCTGTATGATGTGTCAAACGATTCCTTTGAGCTGACATTTGAATTTTGATTCTCTTCTATTCTTTGATAACGTGGAATGATAACTCAAGCTGTATTTCATTTGATGTACCCTATATATGATACCTTATATGGAAATTTTGTATGATGCTATATACTTTTATTCCTCAATGTAACTTGATACAGGAGTTTCGAAAGAACATCAGTTCATTAGACGTGATGACTCACCCTGATTTGAAATAAAACTTTATTTAATCAAATAAAATACAACATTTCTTTATATAGCATCGCTATCATTTTCATTGTTGTCTTACAGTGTTTACAGTTGAATGTCAGGAGTGTTCTACATCAGGGTTGAATGTGTTTGGTGGCTATCAGTATGTCTTCTACCATGGTGATGTCGTCAGGACATTCTCTGAAACACGTGCACTCTGTCAAAGCTTAGGTGGTCACATGCCAATCATCACATCAGCTGAACAAAATGTATGTGCATGTAAATACTTTTACCGTGTAATACTAAAACCCTATAGTTTACTTAACATGGCAAGTTCTTTTTACCCGTTTCCTAAGTTTTTCTATGATGTATCGGGAATATCTGGCGAATTTCGATTTCTTCAGAATAAATATGGTCCGAGGAATATTGTCAAGATTGATATCAAACTGCCAAACATGATATTCTAATTAACAGGTGCTCTATGAAGTTTAGCCTATTAAGAAAACAGCATTGGAGCGTAGGCTTTTTCTAATTTTACTTCAAAGGTATAGACCAGTTCTTGTCATGCGACTGCATTGTAAAAGAATCGTTGTGGAATCGATCAGAAAAGGTTGATCATCTAGCATATAAGTATTGGTGTGTACTGCACGGTTCTGGAATCATCAAAATGATAAGAAATTTGGCCCAGTCTTGGTAAAGTTACAAGCACTTTACTAAAAAAAAATGTATATGGGACTACGCAATAAATTATTATATCTATCCGGACTGGATAGATATAATAATTTACCCAAATAATATATAAATTAGTAGGCGGTTCCCGACAAAATTTGCATCATCACGTATTAGTCAAAACATATTATTTCACATGATTGGTAATTAGAGCTTCAATTTAATTTTTTGAGAGGGGGCGTTTCCAAAACTGGTCTATACCTTTAAAGGTACTATGTCCCTTTTGCAGCCAACTTCAAATTCTGTAGAACTTTGCAGGAATTATGAATATGTCATGTATGTCCTATTTGTGCAATTTAAACGTTAGCAGTGTCCTAATATTCAAATTATGCAAGGAAACCCGTTTACTTGCTAGACTTCACTGTCAGACACTAATGAGTGACTGACTGGCTTTTCTTCTTCTTTGGCAATAACATAAATAAAATGAGCTGTAAAGGGTACATGAGCATTATTTTGTCTACATCAATAACCCACTTCTTGTGATGGCCAAAATTAAACTGATTGAATCTTTGCACATAAAACGTATGACCATTCGGTACAATGGTCTGAAAATCAATACTGTTACTTATTGGCTCTATAGCTCCTAAGTCGATTTGACAACTAATAGTCGTTATTTTCCCACTTGAAGACATTTTTAAGCCCCACCTTTTTTAGGGAAGTTCTTAATTAGTATTTTCTTTCAAATGCCGTTGGAATTTAACCTTTTCAATTTTTGGCCTGCAAATGGGACGTAGTACCTTTAAAGGTAATACAAAGATTTGGTATGGGGTCTGAATTTGGTTCTAATGAACATATTGGAAGCATATGCGATCCTACAATATTCAGTGATGGTTGTAGTGGTTGAAATCGAGTCTAAAGTTATGAAATTGTAAATAATAAACTCTTTATGTTGTATAGCTCCCTCTAAAGGTCAAGTTATTAATTAAGCTATACAACAATGTTTCTTGACTAAAATCGACCGATTAGTGGAAATTATATATCACATCTAAATATTTTGAGATTTTCGTACTCGCATCTACCCGGCATTTACCAAGAGCACCGGTAAATTGTTATATTCAATTTTTCTCGAAAACAGAAGTGTTTTAGGGGCTAAACTTTCTAGTGCTTAATATACATTCATAGGGGCTTCCAAATATATCAAAATTGTAAATAATCACTATCCACCTAATTTTCAAAATTTCCCAAAACTTTGTATTACCTTTAAATTGCGACTAATACAACATCATCCTTTTTTTAAAGAACCGAATTGCTTGCTTTTGTTCACTATCTCAAGATTTCCACCGGTGAACCACAAAACATAAACTTTTATAGGTGTGTTGAAAATGTGACTTCTAAAACTTTGATTTTAATTCCCAATTTTTAAAAATTGAAATTCACGGTCGGATTATTCCTATTGTAACCTGGATGGTTATTATCTTTCCATTTTATTGATTCCTCCTGTTCTGTCCTTTCCAATAATAATAGACAAATTTGTATAGCACTTAATACTTCGTTTAAAGACACTTTAATTTGCAATTATGTTACCCTGGTCATTGGATTCAGTTTTAATCCGCACATGATGGTGTATGATACTACTAATAATGGTAATAACCTAGGCTTCTCTACAGTGTGAGTAAAACAAACATTTACACCTAGAAAATTGCTAATTATTTTAAAAATTATCTATGAACAGTAAATTATTATACATCTTATGAAAGAATGTTTTATCCCAAATCATTTGGTATCATTTTTGTGAGGCATGTGTTCACGCTTGGATGAACAGGAGGCATTGGTTGCGGGAGTGCAAAATTTGACTTGCGCATTGTATTTTGGCAAGGCGCCACTTTGCAAACACACACAGGCCGCATCCTACCGGGTAGCCATTTCACACCTGGGGGAGATTGGAAAATGTAGATTTAAGTCTTGCCATACGACATTAATGCCACGGTGGGACTCAAACCGGAAAGAATATTTTTTATGATCCACAATCCGGTGCATATCCAAGCAGGGGCGTACGCAGAGGGGGGGGGGGGGGGGGTTTTTTATTCAAACATCACATTTATTACTTTGGCGCTAGTCGATTTTTGCACTCCCGCAATCAATGCCTCCTGTTCATCCAAGCGTGAACACATACCAGACACACACAATGGTACTAAACGATTCGTGATATAGCAATCTTTCAAAACGTGTTTGATAACCTTTCGTTCATAGCTGACTCTTAAAATAAATGACAATCTTCCAAGTGTAAAGTTTGGTTTTGCCTCACACGGTATTTCGGGCTATAGCGCAGAGTATTATACTACACACCATTGATCTCTGGTCACTTGGCAACATGACTTAAACTGGGAGAAATTGGAAAAGGTTGGTTATGTATAATATAAGACTTGTTGTGTATTAAAGCTTTTAAGAATGGTCAAAATGAAAAGGAATGGACTCAATTATGCTGAGTTCGATTGTAAAACTACTATTTCAAAACACAGTAGTTACAAACTGATTTTATTCAAATCGATATCAGATTTGATACAAAATGTTATGGTAATACCGAAATTATTCACCAAAAACGAAACAGGTTAAAACTATTATTGGCTATTTTATGTACTTCTGTTGTTTTCCCTAAAATATACACATAACAGTATTTGCATTAACTGAAACTCTCCGGTTGAAAAAGACAAGAAAACAGCACCAAATACTTTTTTTTCCTTATTTGAATGTAAAATATTACTCTAAACTGGTTAGCTTAAACCAGTGGAAGTTCTAGATTGCGTGCAATTATTGTAGTGCTATATGCCACTTTGATGTAAATATCCACATGTATACATGTTATATTCATAACATAAACAGGATTCCATAGCCGGGAAATTATCAACAGACTCTGATGCAGACCTAGGTAACTATTACATCGGCTTAGAAGACATGGACGAGGATGGTACATACAGATGGAATAATGGAACGGACCCTGGGTATGTATCAACTGTCATCATGGTATAGTGCTACTCCTTTTGCAATCTTTTTTTCCTATATCGATTGTTCATTATGTCAATGGGTTTTATAATAGGCACACGAGAGAAGAAAAGGAACACTAAACATTTGAAGACATTTGAAAACAAAATCGTATAATTAATTAATTCATTCATTCATTTATTTATTTCATTTCCAGGCAAGATGATAACAAACAAAACATCACAAGGTTGACAAATGACATAGCATAAACATAATGATATTTAGCACCAGTCAATGCCTGAGGATCACCTAAAAGAATTTAAAAATTCTGTCTAGAGGCTCTCCACATTGGCTGGTGCATACATAAAACAAAATATAAAGATAAGGTCAACATAATTTATAAATGAATGTGTAACTAAAACTAACGGTAATATACATGTAGATCAAATACTGTTATGATTATTATCAAAAAGGATTGAAAAAAGAGCTGTTCAAACTATACATGTCATAAATGTTATTAATTTACATGTTGATCATAATTTCATATTCCAGGATTCTTCTCAGTCAAGGAAGATCTTCCATATTTTGTCACGTGTTAATTCAAATGTCTAAGGTCAAATAATGTGATAGTTATTGTTGAAAGTGAAATTGATATAGAGTGCTGAAGGTCACCGAGTTCCCATTCTTTAGACCATGAATTTGATATTAATCGTTTATTCATACAAATAAATAACAACATGAAATGGTGACAGAAAAGCTCATTTCTATCCTGTTACCAAATTACGTTTGTTTCTTGTAGTTTTCTTAATGCCCCCCCCCCCCTCAAAAAAAACCCCACCCTACTTAGGCGTTCTTCTCAAAACAAATCGTTTATGTTCCAAAATTGACCATTCACATTCAAATTCACGCCATTAAATGCATGTTTTCTGCACAAAAATGTTTTACACGCAATTATTATTGATAATGACGTTAGCTACAATTATCATGTTTGCTCTAAACGTAAGTTTTGTCAACGATTGATTGAATGAAAAACCCTAGCTTCATGCCAAATGTATCATTTAAATGCATTCATGAAATTAGTCATTAGCCTTTCATATTGATTTACCAGAAGATTCAATGTTCTTTTTTCCAAAGACACTCGAGTGATAATGTAGTAAATCTATGTCCAATATAGGCCTACATATATTGAGCATTTCTAAGGAATTTATGATGTGCTTAAATCTAAGTTGTATTGTTAGTCCTATTTGATATTTATCATTTTTAAGGTATACCAACTGGGATACTCCTCTACAGTCCAGTCGACCACCTTACTGTGCTGTGATGAGGTCTGGATCTAGCCTCACTGACCCGATACGTGGACGATGGAACCGAGTAACATGCACTTCAGATAGACGACACATCTGCCAAATACCTCTCGGTAGGTATTTCGAGTCGTTTTGCATAATTATGTTTAGTCTCCTTCTAAATGAGCGTGTAAACTAACATTGTATATATAATCTAGATTTTGGCAGACTGTTCTTGATATTTACAGTTGACCATGCGTGTGAATATAAATCGAAGTTTATAATAAATTCATAAAAAAGAGAAAGAGAGAGAAAGACATACACACAAACACTCACACACAACGTAACCATATGAAATGATTACAATGGGAAAATAAAATAATGAAACCAATTATATTATAATTCAATTTCATATATAAATATTCGAAAGAAGCATGTACCACTCCTAATGTTGTGTAAAAAAAAGCCCTCTCAAGGTAATTATTGATTAGAATAATAACAATTACAAACACAGCTACAAGTTATATCAATACAAATATATCAATACAAATATATCAGAAAAACCTTACTAATACTACATAATCATGTACAACGCACTTTGTTTTTTTCAATGAGCTATTTCGATCATACCTGCTGTAGCCTTGTTCTCATTTTTTCATTCGCTTTGATTCGTAATCTATATAGTTCTATTTTTCTTTGTTTAATTTTTCGATAAATAATTTATAACAATTTGTGAATATATATTTTATTATATATCATTTTTTAAAACATGTATATGAATATGGTTGAATTCAATGGCGATATCACTCTCATAATCTTACCGAAACTATCTACTGATATTCCTCCGATCATCAAAGAGATTTCATACTTTTTCAACTTATTTTGGTTGCATTTTACGGTCATTTTATTTTTCGCGAAAATTGTACCGTTTGTCACGCATTTTGACAATATTTCGGGAAAAATGTCGCGAAAATAGCCACTAGATGCCGCATAATTTTCATATTATTGTCTAACACAATGTTAGCTGGATTAACAGCACAGTGAATTATCGTCTTCAATGCGTAATAACATACTGGCTACCTTTTAGAAATATGTGATAGCGAGTATTAGGCTTGAAGATCGAGAGTGCTCGAAAATCAGAGATTTGAAGTAGAGTGGTGAAAGTTTGAATAAATATCACCCACAAAATGAGAAAATTATGATTTTTCACAAATTGTAACCACTATAGGTATGGGCTCTTCAAATTGGCCGAATCGGTAATGTCTTGTAATGTAATGGCAGACAATCATTTTTATTTGTTCCAACACACAAAATAATTAAATTAAAAAAGAAACAAAAAGGGTGATTCGGGAAAGTCTGTTCTCCTTAGAGGACATTAAGAGATATGATATCCATTATTTGAGGAAGGGAGGAAGTACTTGAGAGGGAAAATTAGAAATTAATACTATGTTTGTACACGGCTAACGGGAGAGTTGTCCGTGTCTACGTCGCAATCCATGGACCAAATTGCCAATTTGAGATTAGTGCATATTTAGCGATCGCATTTTTCAAACATTCATGACTTTGGTCCGAATTATTTCAGACTTTCACCATTCTATTTATCATATTGTTCCTCTTTCATACAAATGAATTTAATATTTAATGCTATATAAACAGGCGATGGCTGTAGATGGCAAGAGCTCGGTGAATCTCAGTATCTCATCAAGTTCACACCTCATGTAAAGCCAAGGGATGCTAGGGAAACATGTCAAAGTTATGGCGGTGATTTGGCTTTCATCAAGACAGCCGAAGTCAACGTAAGTCTAATAACACATTTGTACAGTGTTCGCACGGTCAAGCTGATTAAGATAATTCAGGAAACTAAACCTAAGTACCAACATTTGTTGTTTACCCCACCATGGTCACCGCAAACAACACCCCATCAGATTTTATTGACCATATTTTTTTATGAAAGCGTGTACATTGTCGCTCTTAGGTGTGTGTTTTGTGGGGGGGGGGGGGGGGGGGGGTGGCTGGGTATACATGTGGACTTGTTTCTGTAATAAGTTTCATTGCAGGCATTTGCACTGTGTTTTCATTTTGAAAATGCCTATTGTATATCGAAAAATCATGATTAACGCAGTGCTTTAAATAACACGGCAGAATGTAGTGAAAGTAAATTCATTGCAATGCAAAAAAAAATGAACAAATACAATATAAAAAGAAAAATGTCATGCTACTTTTTAAAAGTCTGCCACCCCCCCCCCCAGAATAATAACAATTTATGAAATAACGTGTTTTTATACACGTTTTACACAAAATCAATATTTCAACAATACTTTTTTCATTCAGAATCTGTAAAAGTAAGAAATTATTTCTTATTCTACACATTTGTTTATAATGAAAAATTATTTCATTGATAATTTATTGCGAGCCTACAAAGCTTTTAAGAAAATCAATTACCCTGATATCCTTTTCATTCTATTATAATTAGGTCGCTATCAAGATTTAATTTTCGTTTCAAAGGTTGAAAGACGTAAGATTAAATTAGTGTTCAAATAAGTTCAACCATTATGTCTCAATATTCGAGATGAAATATGAAAAAACTTCAATGCATAGATAATGACGAAATGCAGTTAACATGTGCAGTTAATACATCAGAAGGGGATAGTCAGATATAGATAAAAATAGGCGTAAGAGAGAGATAGAGAGAGAGAGAGAGGAAGAAAGAGAAAAGGACAAAGAGAGAGAGAGAGACAGAGAGAGAGTCCTAAAACATTGTAAATTACAGGGAATGCTCTCAGCTGATGCTAAGGGTTTCCATTGTGACTCAATGTATGAATAAATCATGAATTCATTATGATTTTCTTCTCTTTTTCGCCTACAGACATTTCTCAAAGAGCTACTTCCCCCATTTAATGCAAGTGATCAATATTTTTGTTACTATTTTGGGCTTATGAGGAGTGACAAGAAAACTTTCTACTGGCTGGATGATACTGCAATCCAGTATGTTCTTCATATTATGATTTCTCTGTCAAGATCAGTCAAGATAAAAGACTTAATGTTGATGAACACCTATTATCTAGATTCAATATGTAATTTTCCTCAAAACAATTTACATTTAAATGTATCCAGTGTTCATACAAATACGATATGCTTCAATACCATAATTTCAAATGTCTTTGTTTAAAATGAAAATCAAGGAGACGGAATGTAGAAAGCTCAGCACAACATTACACGATCATGTTGTTAAGACCAGATTTCAGCTCTAATTCTTTGCATGCCAAGTACCTACAGTGGCATATTAAGAGGGTGGGGGGGGGGGGGGTGGAGGGGGGGGGGACCATTGAGGGTATCGCGAGTAAAGATTTGAATTCAAATTCAGTTTAAAGATGGTTATCCAAAAGTCAATGATTATTATCAATATTTCATGAAAAAATATAAAAATGATTATGATAATGATCATAACATGAACTTAATTCATTGAGCGTTTTTCCTCCGAGGTATAATGATTGGTACAAGGGCGAAGAACCCAATAATGCTGACTCCTGGGGTTGTCTTGGTCTACGTGATGGCCCTTCATGGATTGACCAGGTTCCACAGCTATCTTCACCGTACATTTGTGAACGTACACGAGGTATGAATTTTTGTGATCCAACATTAATTGCGTTCTGGTAACAGTTCCTCCAAACTATATTTCAACAAACGCATTGTCTAGGGATCATACGGCAAGTTGGGTTTAGTTTAGGTTAAGGTTCGGGGTTTGCATTAGGATAAACGGCTGAGGTTTGGAAGTCGTTCAGTGTATAATAAATTGACCGCAGAGCAATTGTCGCTGGAGCATGTTTCGTACCAGCTAAACGTTGAATTGTTTTACAAATATTTCGGATATTGTGCCACCTCGTAATAAAACGAAATCCATTGATATTCTAACATGTGTAATCTCCTTTTGAGAACATCATTATGATATGCCTTGCTGAATTTGCGGAAAAAAATTAATGTTCTTAAATCTTGATCATTCTTATAACGAATCAATACACAGTTCAGATAGTGGGTGAATAAACTCCCTTTGAAAAATGACAACGAATGCAAGCGTTCTCTGATTCATACTCATTTGGAGACCAGAAAATATGTTGGTCCCTTTTTGTTGAACATTTAAAAAGTACAAAGTTTATCATCTACTACTAGGCCCACAATGGGCACTGTAGAATTAGAGAAAAACAATTTTTGTTAAAATCACTATCTTTCTCATCACGATACACTCTCAAATAGAAAGTCTGTTTTATTACAGTATTTGATGGAAGCAGTAAAGCATCATTTGGAGGTATGGATTATTTCATCTCTCCGTCATGGCTGACTCGGTCTTTCTCAGATGCACGGACCTATTGTCAGTATCATGGAGCCGATTTAGCACTTATCAAATCACACCATATCAATGTATGTTCAAGTACATTTACTTAATTTAATTCAGACTTATGAATAATAAAAATGAATGTATTTCAAATATTAGTTATTATTGGATTAGTAGGTCCATAAAGGCAAACAGTCCTGTCAAACTAGATTTAAACAGCTTTAACTGAATGATTAATTTTCAATTTAATTATTATCTACTGAGCAGCAGAAGATATTTTTTAGTTTGTAGTTTTAATACCGCCTTTCGAGTTCACAGCAGGCGATTGACTAATGTTGATTTTTCTTTTCATTCGTTCATCTTTTTTTACATTTAATTTAATCGTAAAATTTGATACAAGTGCAAATATGAGAACACGAAAAACAACTGATGTTTATGAGGCGACTTTTATTTTTTCCAACAGACCTTTCTGACTGTCAGGACTTCGGGATTAGGTACCCAAGTATTTTTTGGTTTGACTGACCAAGCTGAGGAAGGCACATTTACATGGATCGACGGAACACCTTTACAGTAGGTTTAATTTATATAGAATGCAAACTTAATCGTTTCTACTTTGAAATGACTGCCAAGCTCGAAATCACTTATTTATCTCTTGAAATGTGTAATTTATAACATTTTCAATTCATTTAAATGAAGGTTGAGATGATTTACCGAAGGAAAAATAAGAAAAACTGAAATTTTGCGGAAATTTTCCTATTATAAATAAATATTAAATTCATGCAATCTGTTTATATGTTTTGATATTGATATTGTTGCAGTACAAAATAGAAACAAAAGCTGCATTTTGCATGTTATACTGGAATGAAGGGTGTTTGCAAACTGTTTAAAAATATTGTCATCGTGTACATGCCCAAGTGCATATTTCTAAAAATAAAAATCTGGATTAAAAATTACAATTTTCAAGTAAGCAATCAAAATATGGATAAGATAGTAGTGCATACTTTGCTTTTGTGAGGAAGCTTAATATTTGATTATCGGAGTATATTCTTATGGATATTTTGGCTTAAAGGTCCAGGTAAAAAACTATAAATTTAAAAACCAAGAATAAAGTCATGGGTTATTATACTTCAATTGTCACAACTCAGATTGCATATCTGCCTATACCACGCAAAAAAGAACCAAGAAATTGATAACAATTTATAGAACCATTCATTCTTACGTATAATCGTCTGTTTGCTCCTACTTGTGTTTGTTTTCAATTCTCATTCATTCAATGCACACAGGTATTCAGCATGGTCGGATTCTGAACCCAACAATGCAGGTAATGAAGACTGTGCCACTATAATACAGTCTGATTCATACGGGGGATGGAATGATATTTCGTGTACTCTCAAACAACCCTTCGTATGTGAACGCTATCAGGGTAAGTCATTATACCTAACATGTATGGCCGTTTATGTTTCATCGCCCAAATTTATTTATCTTACTTTCAATTTGCTTGAAGGCCTGTTGGAAGAAATTATAGCACTTAATCCACTGTTGATGACTTGGTGGAGAGTCGAGAATGTCAACACCCCCCCCCCATTGTGCTTTAAACAAAAATAAGCGGGTTCTGCCCTTGTGGATAAGACACCGGAATATATGCATCTATCTAGTGGCACGGGGCTTGCTTCATTGCAAAGGTTACACAGATCGCGATGAAACTTATTATGCTAGAGAGTGAAGTAAAAAGACATGTGTCCTTCTTCAAAGGTTGATCCCCTTATAAGCGCTGAAATTATATCGATATTATTTTATATTTATCTGTAAAATTACGAGATAATGAACAAAATTATTATTCGAGGATGCAAAGCAACTTGGCTTTTAATACAAAGTTTCGCATTTTACAACCTCTCCAAATTCTTACGCATCTTATCCTACATGATACAAGGAAACTGATTATTTTCCCCATTCATAAAGAAGAACTAGATTCAACTTCATTAACCTCAGAAAAGTACTCATAAATTGCCTATCAAGAGAACAATCATTTTATGTAACTCTTGCTTGAAATATATGCTATATATCTTGTCTACTGACATTTTGGCATTTACTAATATTTAAACACAGCATTTATGACTGTATTATCTAAATGACCATGACATTGCTTTTCTATGTCGTTTTATACCATTAAGCCAGCGTGTTACACGCGATATACGATGCCTCGATTAGACATGAATATTCAAGAGAATCGAGACTTTCCCCGACCCTGCGTAATGAATATTCATGAAAATAATAGGAATCCGGGCTCGCCGTGGTACGAAAAAATAAGACGCACCCCGGTCATCGGATACATTCACGCACAATGTACACCATCTTCATTTCCTGGGGAGTATTCCTACCATATGGTCACGGTGGGGCCATATGGCAATTAATAATACAAGTCCTTTCGTCCTCCTACCGGGCTTCCATTTTCTCTGGGGTATGGAGTGGCAAATGTAGATTAATGCCTTGCCAAAAGACATTAGTGCCGTGTCGAGGAACGAACCAACGGCCTTTGAATGTCAAGTTAAGTTTTTAAACAACTCAACCATGACACCTCTACATATATATTTCTCAGTCGTCCTGATAATCAACAGTCTGCAACATAAAAACTAGATATTTGACTTAAAGTTATGAAAACTCTCAACCGAAATCGAAACTGAAAAGCAAGCACAATTTGATTAGGTAGCAGGTAGCCCTGAGAAAGAGAGAGAGAAAAAGAGAGATAAAAAAAAAAGAAGAGAGAAAAAAGGAGAGAGAGAGAAAAAAAGAGATACAAAAGATACTATGTCCCTATTGCAGCCAACATCAAATTCTGTAGAACTTTGCAGGAATTCTGAATATGTCATGTATGTCCTCTCTGTGAAATTTAAACGTTAGCAGTGTCCTAATATTCAAATTATGCAAGGAAATCCGTTTAATTGCTAGACTTCACTGTCAGACACCATTGAGTGACTAACTGGCTTTTTCATCGTTGGTAATAACATACATCAAATGAGCTGTAAAGGGTACATGAGCATTTGTCTACATCAATAACCCACTTCTTGTGATGGCCAAAATTAAACTGATTGAATCTTTGCGCGGCATAAAACGTACGACCGTTCGGTACAATGGTCTGAAAAATCAGACTATTACTTACTGGCTCTATAGCTCCTAAGTCGTTATTTTCCCACTTAAAGACATTTTTTCAAGCCCCATTTGTTTAGGGAAGTTCTAAATTAGTATTTTCTTTTAAATGCCGTTGGAATTTAACCTTGTCATTTGTTTGGCCTGCAAATGGGACATAGTAGCTTTAATGTTAGTTGGTGTTAGTGTCTTTTGAAATACTTGCACTATAACATTATCTTTTAGATTTCCTGGAGGATAGTTGCAATACTATGCTGTTCAGGGTTTGGTAGAAATCTTCCAGATTTATCTGCATGTCTATAAGGGCTCCATACGGATTACCTTTACCATGAGGTTTTGAAAATGAATACAGTCAAACCTGCTTTAGTCTATAGTAACACGTACAATAACCAAGATGTAAAAAGTGTATCTTTATCCTGTACAGTGCATCTAAATTATACATATAGTTGTAACGTCAACATGTAAAACGAGGTCATGGATTGATATTATATAAATGTTGGCGATACTGTACCATGTCGTCAATAATTGGTAGACAATTATATTTTTCTTAGCTATATTAGGCGTAAAACATAGCATGTTCAGGTTTTAAAGATCCGTCTCTCCTTGTAGCACTTGAATTGCACGTTGCCATGTGTACTTGTGTTTTGTTTTAGAATGAACATGTGTCTTTCGTTTGTTATGATGAAATATTATTATTTGTATGGGTAATTTCTCGGCTGTATGATGTACACAATCATGACTGATCTTTGACAATGTGTTCCGGAAAACATCTTCAAACAATAAATTATTTTAAAGGAAATCAGATTTTAGGAAAGCTTTGGTATATAGGTCTAGAAATATTAATAATTTCAGATTAAGTGAAGCAATTTAATGCTCACTTACTGGTTAAGTGTGTTTTCCTACACTACTGTACTTTGGAAAATCTACGTGTCTGTGACATTATTTTGCATCTAACATGATTTATTTAAGATTTTTTTTTTGCCAATTAATTACTTAATGCCCATTTTCTTCTTATTCCCTAGCGACAATTCTCTCTAATTCTCTCTCTCTCTCTCTCTATTTACACTGTACATAATCATTCTCACTTATTAATTTATTCATCTGTCAGTATCATATAGTACAATTACAACCACAATTTAATGAAAGCAATCTACAAAATAAATGTATGCAGAGAAAATTTTATTACTAACAAAAATAAACAAATAATAACTGTAAACAAATATTCATATAATCAAAGACAAATCAAGTAATATCTTTCTTTTACAAAAATGAATAATTTTTATTTACAAACATAAGTACAAATAATGAAATACATATCTATGATTAATATACAACCCACTTGTGTAAGGCAATAGCAAAACCTTGTCATGAAACTGGAAAATTGTATCCCCTTTTGACCAAATGCCCAAATCTGGACATTTTCAAATATTAACGAATATAAATAAATACAAATAATGAAAAAAATATGACGATATAAATTTGATTGAGTCAGCCAATAGCAATACCATGTCTTGAAAACCGAACATTTTTATCCCCTTTTGACCAAATCCAGAATTTGTTATCCCCTTTGACCAAATACAAAACCAGAATTGTTATCCCCTATGACCAAATGCCCCAAACTGAATTTTTTTTTATCCCCTTCGACCAAATGCCAAAATATGAAAATTTTCATACATTTACGAATATAAATAAATAAGTACGAAAAATAAAAAAAAATATGAATAATACATATACAATTTACTCTACTTGTGTGAGCCAATAGCCCAACCTGAAATTTTATCTTCTTTGACAAAATGCCAAACCGGAAATATTTATCCTCTTTGACCAAATGCCAAGACTGGAATTTTTTATCCCCTTTGATCAAATGCCAAAACTGGAAATTTTTATCCCCTTTAAACGAATGGCAAACCTGAAATTTTTATCTCCTTTGACCAAAGTGCCACAATTTTAATTTTTATCCCCTCAGTGGCATATCCAAACCTTGGCGTCAGGAGGGGCAAAACATTTCCAACTGTGATAAATATAACTGGGGAGGAGGAGGGGGATCACCCTAAATGAAACTGAGGCAGAAAGAGTTAGTCTGTTGACCAATATCATGTTTACATTGTATGCGTTTATTCGCTTACAGTGATTCGTTACCCGCTTGCTACCAGGCTTTTTCCTGGTCGGAAACCTATGAGGAGGGGCGAGTTGCCCCCTTGCCCCTCTTTCATATACACGCTAGTGAACATCTCCAACTTATGTTGTCCCGGAAATGAGTAAGGATATACAGTGTATCACAATTGAAATGAAAGTGCATAATTCTTAGTTTTTTGTTTGTCTTATCTAAAGACATATCTGTCGTGAGGAAGGATGTCGATCACAGACGAGGAGGAACTATAAGGTTCTAATTGCGGATATTTCATCTGATGTAAAGAGCATTTTTATAAATCTTTTTTGCTTTTATAGCTTTTCACTTTCTTTCTTTTTTTCTGGGTAATTAGGAACATTGTTTTAATTAAATTGTGACATTATCACTCATGGCGACCCAGTTCTGTTTGCAAAAAAAAACTATTTAGAAATATGTGTATTGATTACATTAACGTTGTATGTACATTGTTATAATGGACATTATAAGTGGCTGAATGAAAGAATAAATATGGAAATAATGTAGTGTAATAATGTAATATTATTGATGCTTTTATTGACTTTTAATTAAAAAAAGAATCAAATTGATGTTAAAAAGGATCAGTGAATAGAAGAAACGGGGGTGATGAATATGAAGGCTGAATATTTTGTTTGTTCTTCATGTGTTCTCTGTGCATGCATGGGTTTTTGAATTGTGTTTTTACATAGTTTCTGTGGTATTAATGAAAGGTTAAAGCATAAGATTGTAAAATCATTAATGTCCTATTGGAGCTGCTTTCTCAGTCAGAGTATAGACCTTTGAAGGGATCCGGTAACTTTGTCTCAGATTCTGAAACAAAATCCTGGATTTAGCTCATGATGCAATGATAATTATAAACCTTTATGTCAGTCAGGAACTCCGTGACTTTTACAAGCCGATCGCCTGTCTGATTATCAAGATATTTATGATTGGAATTACAAATTTTGAAAACCGTCTGCCAAACGGTTTTCATAACACTACAGTCTATTGGGGAAATCGAGTATGGTAAAACCGGTCACTCAAAGATTTTTACTTTTTTCAGGCACTTCTTGATCATTTTGAAGCGCAATTTTTTTAGGGCTCCAATATTACACCATATCACAGACACTGATAACACGTAAGACCGTGCATCTCAGATTTAACATTGTTAAACGATCCCTTTTAGAAAGAAAAAAAAAAAAAAAAAATTTACAAAAGGAATACTAGCACTCTATTTGAGTTGCTGTCTTGTTAGATATGAAATAGATACAATTCGAAAATATTCCGACAAAAGTATGTCAAATACTTTACATCAAGCTATGGCGTCACAAATTCCTGGTAGCAGCCCTCAAATATTACTCTCCGTGTAATTTTTTTAATAATATTCATGTAAATTAATTAAGATAATACTAAATTAGTTTTAAAAAAAGGGTGACAAGCGAATCTTCATTTACTTTATTTACTTCATTTCGTTTATCAGAGTTGCTTTTTTGCATGTGTATGTGCATGTGCATGTAAAATGCTACAGCATATTTAAGCCCTAACCACACAGTATATGTTTATGGGAAGCCGTCGATGCAAAAGTATTTTTAACAGCATTGCCTAACACAAACGTAGAATGAAAAAGTCTCACCCATAATTGATGATGATTGTGTCATTTTACTCTACCCAATAAAACAAGTCGAGAGTTTGAATTGTTTGCCCTAATACCAGCTATATTTATTAAATTTGCGAAATATCTATGTGTGTCAGTAATTAATTGAGATCAAAACAGTAGCCATGTGAGTCGCTTCTAACTTCTAGAGCTCCTCTTGCTACCAAGAGTAATATAAATTATTAATGAAACTCAATGGAAAAAAAAAGGTTTTCGAACGAAAATGACCCGTAGGATAGATGATAATCTATTTACGGACTTAATATGGTTCGTTCAAAGCTGAATATCTGACATGAAATTGAAAATAATAAATCAGCTTTTATAATTGTCGCTCGAATTTACAAGTTAAAGGCCGGCTCACGTAGTAGCGGCAAAAACCCCGCGAAAGGCGACGGACGTGAACATCACAAAATTCTGGCGGCAAATCGACGGCATAAGGTGAAAACCAAGATTCGCTGTCGGGTGGGAACGACCTTCTGCGACAATACGACGGCAATGGACGAATGGCTGCGGCAGGGAACGGAGTCTAGCGACCAAAATCGGACGTTGTCTGGGCGGCGAGTGACGATGTCTCGACGGAGCTCGGCAACAAGGAACGAGGTCAGACGGCTGGCAGCAGATTGGCTGGCGGCAAGGAACTGCGGCTGACAATGGGTTGCGGCGACGATGACGTGACTCAGTGGCCGACATCAAAGCCTGTGCGGGTCACTGACGTCACAAAACGTGAACAAAACTGCGCTAAAAGTTTAAAATCGTGGACCATCGTTGCAAAATCGTAACCCGTCGCAGACAACCGTTGCAAAGCCGCAGGTACTCACAAACGATCCACCATCAACAGTCATCAACTGTTACCCTCCGGCCGAAATTCGCAATCCGTCGTCGCACCAATTCGTTATTTGCAGCGCAATGTGTCGCCAGGATTCGAGACGTCAATTTTGCCGCCAATGGTCGTTGACAATGACAACGACAACGACTACGAACGAAGTTGTGACGACTAGACACGGAATCGCACGGCATGGAAACATCAAGAAATGAGGGTTTCGGTCTCCAACGAAATCTGAACGGAATCACAAGGATTTTTTTTTTGCCGCCACAAAATTTCAACATGCTGAAAATTTGATAGAGAACTGATAATTTCGGCCGTCTGCGGTCGCTAAGTATTCGAAACACACGATGATTGGCGAGAAATTCAATATTGCCATTCACAGCTTAACGTAGTTTGCAGTACCCTCTGTACAAATATAATTAATAATAATAATATTACATTGTATTTATATAGCGCAATCAACCTACACTTAATTCAAAATACATAAGCACAGATACATATAGTCAATACCTATAAATACAATAGAATACAATTAATTTTAGGCCAAAACATTACAAATTCAAATTAAGACAATTACATTACATCTACCGTGAATAGCACATTAAAGCTACAGACTAACAGGGAGAATTAAAAAAGAAAGTCTTTAGTGAGGATTTAAAAGAATCCAACGAAGAAGCATCCCGCAACTCAAGCGGAAGTCTGTTTCAAAGCCTCGGAGCAGCTACGCTGAATATTAAGAAAATTATGAGTGTTCGAAATAAGAGATTACTAAGTCAATGCGAACCTCAAATTGGCAATTTGGTCGGTGGATTGTGATGTATTTACTATTAACAATCGACTGCAAAGAGCTTTGTCAAAGTTTAGGGAAGGGACTTGGCCTTACAAAACAATGTTGGTTCAAAAGCTAACTTTAATACATGTATTATAGAAATGGATTTATCGTGGAATACGGTACTGCAAATTTCAGATTTTGGCCATGTAAATATATAGTACTGTATTATGTAGAATAAGTATACTTTCCTTGTCCCTTTGCCAGATTTATCAATTGTCACAACTATGCAGCCAATACCAACACCTAGTGCCACCTTACAACTTGGTAAAGGAATAGGTTTAATAAACAATTTTCACAATTATCAGTGACTTGACTGATTAGTACCAAAAAATGAATTATTCAGCGATTGCATAACTTTCATTGGTATTAAAGGACGTAATGAATTTGAATTGATTACAGAGATTTAAAAGAGGTCAAACAAGCTTTCTCCACACATTTTACCCTTTTTGCATCAAGAAAATAAAGAAATACAATATATTTGTTAGATTCTTTGAGATTGTTTCGGTCTCTGAAGATCTGTTGTGCCTTGCAGTAATATCATAGGAGTTTCAACTTTTGAAATGCCGAGGTCACACATATAAGAGCCTATGAATGTCCATTGTTTACGTTTTGTATCATAATTCTTTTCTTTGTAAACTGAGCCTTCAATTGACTGGTGAGCGAAACAAAAAAAACTTGGTAAATGAATAGGTTTATACACATTTCACAATAATTATCAGTGACTTGACTGATTAGTACTAAAAAATGAGCCCGTGAAATGATTCCTTGAGATTTTGTTTGTCTCTAAAGATAGGCTGTGCCTTTGCATTTATATCATGGGAGTTTCAACTTACTCTGCCGTGGTTACATATGTGAGAGTAACATTGTACAAAAAGTGAATGAAACATTAGCAGTGCTAACAATGCGTTGTATTACCGGTCTATATATTTATTATGGGTTAATTGCCTTCAGAGGGGTAATAAGGGCAGATATTGACGCAATCGAGGTGACGCCTCGAGTGCAACGAGTGTTGAAATAAGAGACCTTGAAGTACTGTTGGAACGCAGCTTACTCCCGAAATAACTGCTGCTGAATGTTCTTTTGAGTAATTCCAACGAATCAGTTTCATCAATTTACCTCAAGTAAATCTCATCAATTTGTCCCTTATTACCCCTTTTTTCAGGAGCAAAATGAATTTCTGGAAAATCAAACCAACCAGATGTATATTGAACACGAACCAAAAACGCTTACTCAGGCTAGGAAACGGAAAAACCTACTACGAAAAAAAGCATTCGGCAAAAATGCAACCAAAGAGGACCGGGAAGCATTTAAACTTGCAATAAAAACAATATCGTACTTAAAGAAAAAAACAAAGGAACACAGGGACGAAAAATCTAGAGCCCACTTGGAGAAAAGATTTCGGGATAACTTCTATGATTTCTCGAAGAAAGTTTGTAATGGCTCGTTACATGAAAAGTCACCTCGGCCAACGTTTTCTCAGATGGAAGCGGACGAATATTTTTGTACAAAGTACAGCGTCCCCAATGTTATTGATCTTACGTCGTTGTCCTGGTTCCCGTACGTCAACGTGAATTCGGAAAACTACCAAAGCTTCGATATGAACTCGTTCAAACCCAAGGATGTTAAGGATGTTCTGAAACGGAAAAAAGCAAGATCAGCACCCGGTGATGATGGTCTCATGTATGGAATGCTAAAAAACTTGTACTGTACCCACCACTTCCTGGCAACATTATATAATAAGATTTTGGAAAGTGGTGATCCCCCCGAAATGTGGTCCGAATCAAAAGTTGCCTTAATTTTCAAATCTGGTGAAACAACAAAACCAGAAAATTTCCGGATGATATCTTTGACGTGTTGCATTGGTAAAATATTTAATCAGATCTTATCGGAGAGAATGTCAACCTATCTCACAGCCAATGAATTCATAGATAAACAGGTCCAGAAGGCATTCATTAACGGAGTGAACGGCTGTATAGAACACAACCAAGTCGTACATGAAATTCTGAAACATGCTCGATGTAAACAAAAAACATTGCACATCACATTCTTCGACCTGGCCGACGCGTTTGGCAGCGTGAGTCATCAGCTGATCTTTACGTCATTAAGCCGTTACGCAATACCTCAACCAGTAGCCCGTTACATTGATGTTCTCTACTCAAGACTAAATGGCAGAGTTTGCGGTCCGGGGTGGCAATCGGAACGCTTTGCTTTCAGGAAAGGGGTTTTTCAGGGAGACCCTCTATCCCCAATTGTATTTCTCATGTGCTTCAACCCAATTATTGAATATCTTGAAACCCAGAAGCAGCAATATGGCTACGATTTCGCCGGCCAGAAATTAATAACTACCCCGTATGCCGACGACTTTAACCTGATAACTGGAAATAAAAGGTATCATCAAAAACTTGTTCAAGAAGTAGATAAACTTCTCAGTAGTATGGGCTTAACAGTCAAAGCTAAGAAGTGTCGTTCCTTATCAATTTCAGGCGGTAAACCAACAGTTATTGATTTTTGCTTAGCTAGGGAACAAATTGCATCTGTACAAAATAATCCTATTAAATTTCTCGGATCTCAAATAACTTTCAGGATGAAGACTTCAGAAACATATGATTTCATCAGAGATAAGGTTGATAGTACCCTCACGAATATAGATAGTGTAAACATAAAAAACGAGTATAAGCTAAAAATCCTTAATGATTATGCTCTCTCCTCTATGAGATATATGTTAACTGTACATGACCTTCATGCAACTCACCTTGGACAACTAGATACACTTCTAGACAAATACATTAAAAAATGGATGGGCATCCCCCGGTGTGGTGCCAATATTGCTGTAGTTCATGCCCCAGCGGGGCTTAATATTCCCACTATCTCTGAACTCTACCAAACATGTCATTGCCTTGCCTACAGTAGATCGAAAGTTAAAGGCGACGAAATGGTAGTTCACGCCCTAGATCAACAACTGGCCAGAGAGGAAAACTGGACCAGAAAGTCATCTACAATTCAGGTTGCACACCAAATTCATCAAACCAGTTTACAAACGAATTGGAAAGATACTAAAAAATCAGTCAAAATGAACCTGAAAGAGGAAAGCAGGAAAAAGTGGAAAAATGAAATAGAACCTCTCCTAGTCCAAGGTGAATTCATGAAGGTACTAGAAATAGAAAACTGTGACTTGTCCTGGAAGTCCATCATCTTCAATCTACCACAAGGAGTTATGAAATTTGCAATAAATGCAGCGATTGATAGTCTGCCGAGTAATAAAAACTTGTATAGATGGGGTAAGCGAATAAATGACTTGTGTAGTTTATGTCAAGCCAAAGGTACTTTGCATCACGTATTGAATAATTGTCAGGAAATGTTAAATAGATACACGTGGCGCCACAATAACATTGTACATAATCTGCTAAAGACCATCAAACAGAACGGCCTTGATAGTGATCACCAAGTATATGCTGACGTGGAAGGGGAGACAATCAGTGGAGGGACGGTTCCCCCAACCATTGTTCCAACACAACAAAGACCTGATTTATGTTTCATTAATTTTAGAAAAAAGGAAATACTAGTATTTGAGTTGACAATTCCATTTGAAACCAACATTCAACAGGCTCACCAAAGAAAGCTTGACAGGTACGCCGGACTAACACATGATATCTCAGAAGCCGGCTGGACTCCTAAATTAATGTGTATAGAGATAGGTTCCCGAGGTTTGATAACTCCTGACAACAAGAAAAGACTTATAGATATGTTGAAAACATGTAAATGCAAAGTAAGGTATCCACAACTGAGAAATGAAATCTTGAAAACCGTACTGTTTGGGTCGTATGTTATTTTTCACAGCCGGTCGGAACGCACCTGGCAATCACAACATTACTTGGGAGTGTAAGTGGTTTAACTAATTTGTATGACTTGCAATAGCGGGGGGGAGGGGGGGGGGGGAGGGGTGGCATCGATCGGCCTTACGTAGTGGATAGCCAATGGGAATTAACTAGGCATAGTAACAAGGCCATCGATGAGGGCCTGAAATGGAGTCATGGCATCCCTTTCTGTGACACCGTACTCCTGTGGCTACATCCCTGATCACATCACAGATAATATTTAGGGATATTTAATGAAATTTTTCATAATTAATCTTAATAATTTGAAGAAATTCTAAAAGCATGCTTGGGCATATAAGGCGAAGGAGGGGGTTGCAGCCCCTTGATAATGTTGAAAGGACTAATATTCGGACAGTGATGTGGTGTCTTGGTAGGGGTGGGTCAGATTCGTCTTTATATAGGTGATGCATATCATCTTCTTTGCATTTTACTTTCCCTTCGTTTCCTGTTCCTTCATTTTCTAGTTTCCTCCTTTCTTTGTCTCCCTTTTTCTCATTCGATTAGGTAAATTAGTCACTTAAAGTCATACACAAACATATGTATTTATTGTAGCCCCCCTACCAAGAGCTAGACGGACATGTCGTGGGGATCTCTTGTCGTCAGCTGTCTGGGAAGATCCCGTGTCCCAAGACTGCTATGTGGGAGAAGATACTAATGAGGTTTTGGTTAACATTGCAAGGGTAAGAAATTAAGTTATTATATATTTCGTACTCTTTCGTAAAAGTAGTAGTAGGAGTAATATTAGTGGAAGTAGATGAAGCAGAAGAGGAGGAAGAAAAGAGAAGTATAAGGAGGAGGTGGAGAAGGAGGAGAAGAAGAAGAAGAAGAAGAAGAAGAGAGAGAAAGAGAGAGAGAGAGAGAGAGGGGGGGGGGGGAATGGAGTGAAAGGGCATTAATTCGGCTTTAAAAATTGTTGCACTGTATGCCTTTTGTCCCAATATCGAGCTGCTTGCGTCATCAAAGCCCCAACGAATAATTATCATTTTCATCATTGTTCATCAGCACACTTACGCAAATGTACTCCACGGACAGGGGGGGGGGGGAGGGGCAATTAGCCGGTCGTTCCCCTAGTCCTGTGCCAAACTGGTGGCAAACCTTTTTAAGTACACATCAAGAATTGGTCTCTCCAATTCTATTTTTGGAATTTAGCCTCTTGCAAGATATGACTCCGTTTCTGGGTGAAAATGCTTCTCTCCAATTACAGGCAGTTGTGACATCAGAGAATGTGACCGAATATTCTTACGATGTTGCTGAAGCGACCGCGAATGTCGCCGATATCAACGCGGAAAATCTCCGAGCCATTTCCGATGTTATGGAGAAAATCGTCAACGTCGGGAACTCATCGACAGAGGTAATAACACAGATTTTCCGTGATCCGACAAATATTTGTTGGCGACATCAAATATTTTTGATTTAGGGCTTGCATAGGTTACGATTAGAATTAGATTAAGTTAATGGTTATAGGATAAGGGTAAGATAGGTTTTGGTTTGGATCCATGGTTCAATTTAGGAATTTGATTATTAACTGTCAATCTATTGTCGCCGGAAAACTATCTTTACAAGTTATTATCATGAATTAGTTCTGTCATGACACATTACACATTTTACGGTTTTAATGTGTATACTTCTGACGCCGAACTCAGTCCCAGAGAGGTGTACTTGCAGAGTTAGCTTCCCGGCAAATGCCTCTTTCTGATTGCGAAAACCATGTGAAATCCATTCTTACGACTTTGTCCACCAATTTAAAATTTTATATTGTGTTTTGCGACACAACCCACCCCCGACAAAAGTAGTATTTAATGGATGTCCAATGCACTTGAAATTTTAAGATAAATACTGTGAGAATTTCCAATCAGAGCTCGTAACCTTTGGTGAGGTATTTATAATAATTAATTTCGGGTCAGGAAAAACCAATCAATTAACTGTTTTCTATCAGGTCACCAACAACACCTTCCGGATCGTCGACAATGCTCTCGGTGCTCCCGACGAGGAGTTCGTTTACGCCGTCGAGTTCCAAACCTCGACGAGGATTCTCGATTTCTTGGAGCAACAGATCACCTTCCAGACCCAGGGCGACGGCAACAACCTCACCATCGTCGGAAGGAGCGTAGCTGTAGTGGCCCTCCAGATCCCAAAGGCCAGTCTGTTGAAAGGTTTTGGGTTCGCTACCCTGGCATCGCCGGACGGTGAAGAGAAAAGCAACGTGCTCAACGAGCTGAATGAAAATAAAACGATGGTGTACTTCAACCCGGACAACATTCCGAAGACAACAATCGATGCATCCATTGTTTTGCCTCCATATTTATTAGGTGCAATACACTACATGTTACAAACCCAAACATTACATACAATTAAATGAAACCGTCACCAAACTAGAATGTAAACTACAATCATGAACTTTAAATTATGTTTCCTTCAATTCGATACAATGAACATTAATGAAATCTATTTGCAATCATTAAAAAAACATGAGGCTTAGGTGGTAAGCGAGCAGTTGTTTTCAAAGCGTGAATCCATTTAGCAACACACGTTCCTGTATGTTAACTTGTGTATTGATAATTAATAGTGATATTTTCAGGTCTACTTCCTAAACAACGACAACAATAACAACAACAGCAGCGATAACAACATACATCGAACTATGGTGAAATTAAGAAAATTTTATATGAGACCAAAAAAGTAAACGCGTACACCCCTTCTTGAAAGTCCCTGAAAAGCAATTCTTCTCCCATCTTCTCTACCATTCAGAAAATGGAACTGTTCCAGTGACTTTCTTCATATTCCAGACCAGTAAGCTCTTCTTAAGTCCAGACCAAGAATACGATCTCGGCGGTGGTCGTCGACTAGCGGTCGGCACCCGGGTCATATCAGCGACCTTGGAGGGTGTAGTCAATGAAAGTTTGCCGCAGGGTGGTGAAGTGGAGACAGCCTTCCTTGAACTGAATGTGAGTTCGTTTGATTCATTAAAAAGAGCAGCGGAAAAACTGCGTGCTTTAATCAATCTGAAATGATGTATTCACTCTCAACACGTCATTTGTATACCTGAATTTTATGAGAGTCATTTATGAAATACTATCTACAATTTCTCTTTCAAATATAAAACGCAAAGGGCTACGATATTACGCTAATGCAAGTTACACACGGGGCGTCAATTTGATTACGTCACAACCTGCACTATTACCCCCGTGCGTCAGGCAAATGACACTTTTGTGCAACAGGTATTATGCCGTCTGCACACATGGCATCATTTCCTTATTAACCTCTTCACATACACGGATTTTTCTTACGAGTCCTTACGGATCGCATATATTCACTCATCTTTCACGGATCCTTGCGATATGGCCACTTTTACGACCGATTTAAGATTTGTTACGAGTTTTTACAAGCTATTTATGGTTTATTACGGATTATTACGAGGTATCACGATGTATTTACGGCGAAGTTACACGATTTTTTACGAGATGTCACGGATAATTAAGAGCAACGTACGTGTTAGTTACGACCTGTTTACATTTTGTAACGAATAGTTACGATTTAGTTACGAGTTTTTATGAGTCCCTACGATTTTAGCCAAAAAATAACAAGTAAAAATTAAGTGTTCGAATTTGCAGCTTTTATACCTTTCCCCAAATCGTAAACAATACGTAAGAATACGTAAAGTATACGTATCTATTCGTAAATACTCGTAACTACACGTAAAGTGCTCGTAATAATTCGTAACAATCCGTAAAGCCATCGTAACACGACCCGAATGAAATCGTAAACAACACGTAATCACCCGTAATAATCCGTAAATAATACGTAAACAAACCGTAAACTTACCGTAACAAATCGTTAACAAAAATTGTTACGAGTCATTTACGGATTCTTGCGAGCATTTTAAAGATGGTTACATGTTGGTGCGAGCGGTTCAAGATACCTACGAATTGTTACGAGCTATTTACGAGTTATTAACGCAAAAATCAATCCGTAGACAATCGTAAGAAGATTTTTGACATGTCACCAAATTTGCGTCTTTTTTCACGGATCCTTAAGAGTGTCTGCGAGTTGTTGCGAGTTGTGACTACTTCTTTACGGATACCAGCGAGTTATTTAAGGATGCTTGCGATTGACTACGAGTTGGCGATCCGTAAGGACTCGTAAGAAAAATCCGTGTATGTGAAGGGGGTATAACGTAACAATTAATCGGGCCTCTGTAAGCAATTTGAACATACAACATGCAGTCATGGCACATTTGTACTGCTCATTTTAAATAACACTCTCTCTTTGTACGATGTCATGTTCACATGACGGCCCGTTCAAGGCCGCGCACTATTCGCTGACGACTCGTATGTAACGGGTTTACTGCCCTGTCCACACGAGGCCATATATATATGAAAAGCCTCGATTATTATTGCATTATAGGCCCCTAGAAACAGAGACAAGCACGCATGTGGTACGTCCAAAATGCACTCATTTGCTTAATTGTGTAGAAAACCGCAAGTCAAATTTGTTGACCAGTTGAGCGTCAAATTTCAAACAAAGTCCATGCGCCTATTGTCAACCTGAAATATACGGAACTAATCAGTGACGGCACGTTGCTTGATAGTGGGTTTAGAGAACCTTACTCCATACAGAAACCCAATAACAAACAGCGCCCTCCCCCAACAAAAAAATATATGAAAACAAATTACTGTATCTTTGTTCAACATTTTACCCCCTTATTTTTTTTTTTTTTTATGGTCAGTTTTTATTCTTTTCTCTCTTGAAACAAATTATAATCATAGTACAAATTACAATCATCATAACTCTCACTGCAAATGTGATGACATTATAAATCAGTATAAATTTTTGTCTTACAAACGGCTTCAAAAGAAACTTACATAGTTAGTTCCTATACATCATATTTGAAACAAAAATTCATATTTTCAAAGAAAACATATGCAGTTGTATAATCCAATTTTTTTTTGTTTTAACAATGTAGCAACTTATACTTCTTTTTATACTGTTGTCCTGAGAGAAAAGTTTTCTCTTTTTGTTAACCCTACCCTACCCGACCTCTCCCTTATCCCCATTCCCCCCCCCCCCCTCTTAACCGGTGGACGACTGGCTCTGGGTTCCAATTGTTTGTCTAATACTCAGGTTTTCCCATTTAGAAAAATGAATAGTGAGAGTTCCCCTCATTGCTGCCAATTTCCTTTCTTCTACTTTATCTCCTATTATACTATTCTTTATTTCATTAAAAGAGGGTGGTTTTTTAAGTTCTCTATTTCTATAAATCAGATATTTAACAAGAATTAAAACATGATTCATTAATTGATATTTTCCTTTATTTCTCTCCTCTTTCCCATACAGAATTTCCTCCAAACTACAGTTATGTATTTCAACGTCTAAAAATCTCGTGCACATTTCCCACACTGATTGTGCAAATTCACAAGTATAGAATAAATGTTTATATGTTTCTTCATCTTTTTCGCAAAATGAGCATAAGTTAGTCGAGACAAGACCAAAACGGAAGAGGTGATGGTTTGTATATAATATATTATGTATAAGTTTGAACTGAAACTCTCTTAATCGACTGTTAAGTGTACACTGTCTTAGTCTTAAAAATATGTTTTCTATTTCCTTACAGGAAAAACCATAGTTCCTTCCAATTCTCTCAAAAACCAAAGGTTTAAAATCATCTTTCTTTATTAATTGTACATAAATTTGTTTTGATTTTAAATCAGCTATATTAGTTGTTTTCTTCCCCAAAGTGAAATCAGTTCCAGAATTATTTTTTTCTTCTCCCTTTCTAAAATTATTTTTCCAACAAACTGGTAAACAGGTATAAAAGTGCTTGATCTTTTCAATTTCATTTACTTCAACACCTAAATCGATAAAATGCCTGTCACTTTTTAGTTTACCATCGTTTTCCAGAATATGTTTTAATTTGTAAATTCCTTTGTCATACAACCTCTTATCGTATATACAACTTCCTTTATATCGAATAAGTTTATTATTAAAAATTACCACATCACCAATGTCTATACTCCTTATATGTCTCGTATTCACCCAATCTTCTAATAAATCCTTATAAAATTGTGGAGCTGTCACTTTTAATAAACTTGGTATATAGTCACATGAAAATATCAAATCTCCACCCACGTGTTCAGTGACAAAGTTAAAATATTGTTTCCATTTCATGTCTTCATCTTTGTTTAGAAGTTTTTGAATCCACATAATTCGCTGCGATTTAACTTGTGCAGAAAAATTTAACATCTTTAACCCCCCTTGGTTATAGTCTAAGAACATGGTGTTTCTATTGATTTTATCTGTTTTTCCTTTCCATATGAAATCAAAAGTTAATTCATCCAGTGAATCATAAACCCATTTTGGAACAGGAGTAAGTGACGCCCGATAAAGAACTTTAGAATAAATGTGCACTTTCAATAGTTGAATCTTACCCATAAGTGTTAAATCCCTTTGCTTCCAAAAATTTAAAAGTGTTTTTATTTTACTTAAGATTTCTTTATAATTTAGATCTTCTTTCTTGTGTTCATCGAGGGAAAAGAAAATCCCTAAAACCTTAAGAAAGTCAACTATTTCGCCAAAAGCAAAATCACAATCTAAACGTTGACATGAACCTAACCTTAATATTTTAGTCTTGTCGTTGTTTATTTTCAGTCCAGAAATTTTTTCGAAATCTGCAAATAATACTTTTAACCTATTAATTGATTTTTTATTGCGAACAAAAATTGTCATATCATCCGCATAAAGTACTAGTTTAGTTTCCTTATCTCCAAAATTAATTCCGTCCACCAATTTATCTATTCGTAATTTGTGTGCCATTACTTCAATACACAAGATAAAGAGGTACGGAGAAAGAGGGTCTCCCTGTCTTACTCCCCTTTCTACTTTGAAATAACCGGTGGACCCTCCTTCATTTAATACACAACTTAGAGTGTTCATGTATAAAACTTTAACCCACTTTTGAAAGGACGGACCGAAACCAAATGACGACAGAACTTTTTGAAGAAATTGATGTGAAATTGAGTCAAAAGCTTTTTCGAAGTCTACAGCTAACAAAAAACCAGATAAATTGTAACGGGATGTATGAAAAATAATATCATCTATAATGCGAATGGCCTCACCAATATTCCTCCCTTTCATGTAGCCCACCTGATCTCCCATAATGATCTCATTTAATACTTTCTTGATTCGCTTAGCCAAAATTTTTGTTAAGATTTTATAATCGACATTAAGAAGGGAAATGGGTCTATAATTTTTCAGTGAAAAGGGATCTTTCCCATCTTTAGCGATTAACGTAATTACAGCTTGTTTTTGAGACGATGCTAATTCTCCTAATCTATATGCTTCATTCAAGGCATCTTTAACTAAATCTCCAATATTCGGCCAAAAGGTACGATAAAATTCTGAAGAAAAACCGTCATTTCCAGGTGATTTGTTCTGTTTTAATTCTTTTAAGATTTCTAGGCATTCTTTATTACTTATAGATCCTTCACAGTATTCTCGAGATTTTTCAGTCAATTTCGGTAAACCTTGAAAGAAACTATTATAACAATTATCCGAGCACTCGTACTCTACTTTACTGTACAACATGCTGTAAAACTTCCGGATTTCTTCAGTTATCCTTTTTTCATCGCAGCAAATAGCACCATCTGAGGTTTTAATTTTTTTAATAGTACTCTTTCTTTTGTTATTTTGCATTAATTGATTGAAATAACGCGAATCCCTTTCTCCGCTTTCGTACCACGAGGCTCGTGATCGAATCCTAATTCCTTCATTTACATAGCTATAAACTTCCTTTAATTTCTTTTTTGTATTTTCCAATTTTTCTAAAGTATCTGCATTAGTGCTTTCCGTCAATTGTTGTTCTAAACATTGTATTTCTTTTTCTAAATCTGTTCTTATTGTTCTTCTTTGATCAGCCAATTTTTTTGAAAATTTTTGTGTAAAGCTCCGAATTTTCATTTTTAAAAAATCCCATAACAACCTTTTGTCTTTTATTTTAGTTTGCAATTCGTTTTTTAATTGACAAATTTTCTTTTTTAACTCTCTAACATAATCTTCATTTTCACATAAACTATTATTGAATTTCCAATATGACCCTTTTCTTCCATTCGTTTTATTGACTGTTTTGTCAAATAAACGTAAAAATATTGAATGATGATCAGGGGCAACAGATGGAATTATATCGCACTTCATAACCATTTCCTCTAGACATTCTGATATTATCCAGTAATCTAGTCTACTTTGCATAAAGGGATTGTTTTGCATATAAGTGAATTGCCTTTTTAAAGAATGCCTACATCTCCAAATATCCAAAAGCTGCAAATCTTCCATGAATTTTTCAAATTCTCGATTAAATCTTTTCGAAATCCTGTTTAAAGATTTCCCGTTATAATCAAATTCAATGTCCCTAATCATGTTAAAATCACCACCTATTATAACCGGGTAGTTATCTTTATTTAACTTAGCCAGATTATTGCGTAATTTTCGAAGAAATTGCAATTGATCACTCTCAAAATTTCTTGTTGGAAAATACACATTGCCTAAAATCAACCTAACACCTTGAAACTTACAGTCTATAAAAATATATCTACCCTCACTGTCTTTTAAGACTTGCAATATCTCAATATCTATCCTCGGCGCAATCAAAACGAGAACTCCTTTACTGTGATTAGAACCATGACTAAAATAAGTAGAACCCTCCCACATTGAAGCCCACTTGTCCTCACAATCGCTAGTACTAAATGTTTCTTGTAGGAAAACAATGTCCGCCCCTTTATCTTTACACCAGAAAAATATGCGTTCCCTTTTATCTCTGTCCCTGATCCCTTTCACGTTGAGGGAGAACAATTTACAATTAATCAGAACATCCATAACCTATCACACACAAGAAAATTTAACCCAGTCCCAGAGCCAATCCCCCACCTTAAAGGACCCCACGAAAAGCAAGAACGAAACCCCGTCATCTGGGAAAGAAACTGATACATGTAAGGCATGCAATATTGCAGCTCCCCCGCCCCACCCCTCCCACTCTAAAAATTTCTATTTGAAGGTAACATTCCCGAAAATAAGGCTATAAAGGATTATGTACCCTCTCCACATTGAAGGTGCTATAATAGCCTGACTTACAGAATACACAAAATAAATGCTTCCTTGCAATTATAAAAAAAAAAACATGTCATGTACGAAAATCTTTGAAGGCTCTTGAATCTATTAATCACAAATTGATTAAGTATTCAGGAGTAAATTACATTTCAATAATCAACATATAAAAAGGGAACATCCTTAATAATCACAGGGTTGTAAACCAGTATCTTCCCATATAATAGCTTAACTACCAAGTAAATACCAACATGAAAAACATGCAGCTGGTAAGTACACCTGGGAACAACCAATACTCTCCGAAGCTACATCTTATCTTCTCTTATTAAGGAGTGATGCATTTCACCAACAGTCTCACAATAATAACTACAGACCCTTGGAATTTGCATGCATATAAAAATAAAAAAATTTAAACAAAAAAATGACATTCTTGAAACGCATGTAGTTCGAAGCTTAAATACTTCTCAAACATAAGGAAATTTGACTTGGCAACAGCCCTGAAAAAAAAAATGAAGCAATTATTTGACTAAGAATAAGAGTTATCCATTTACATTCCAATACTCTCCGAAGCTACATCTTTTCTTCTCTTATTAAGGAGTGATGTATTTCACCCAATCAACAGTCTCAAATTAGAAACTACAGACTCTTGGAATTTGCATGCATATAAAAAAAGTTTTTTTTTAAACAAAAAGATGACATTCTTGAGACGCATGTAGTTCGAAGCTTAAATACTTCTCAAACATAAGGAAATTTGACCTGGCAACAGCCCTGAAGAAAAAAAATGAAGCAATTATTTGACTAAGAATAAGAGTTATCCATTTACATTCCAATACTCTCCGAAGCTACATCTTTTCTTCTCTTATTAAGGAGTGATGCATTTCACCAACAGTCTCACAATAATAACTACAGACCCTTGGAATTTGCATGCATATAAAAAAATAAAAAATTAAACAAAAAGATGACATTCTTGAGACGCATGTAGTTCGAAGCTTAAATACTTCTCAAACATAAGGAAATTTGACTTGGCAACAGCCCTGAAAAAAAAATGAAGCAATTATTTGACTAAGAATAAGAGTTATCCATTCACATTCCAATACTCTCCGAAGCTACATCTTTTCTTCTCTTATTAAGGAGTGATGCATTTCACCCAATCAACAGTCTCAAAATAGAAACTACAGACTCTTGGAATTTGCATGCATATAAAAAAAGTTTTTTTTTTTTTTCCCTCTCCTCTAGAACTGTCAAATAGATTTTCCATTGGGAGAACAAAAGCATTTCCAGTATGCTAATAAGTGTATTGCTTCTCGTGACATAATAGATAAGTACACCTGAAAAAAATGAAGCAATTATTTGACTAAGAATAAGAGTTATCCATTTACATTCCAATACTCTCCTTATTGTTTTGTTGGATCGATCCGCCTTTGGATTGTGTATCTGCTTCGTTCTGCTCCATACAGGTGACTCGAGACAGTGAGGCGGTGGATAACAGGACGTGTGTGTTCTGGGATAAGACTGATCTAGGAGGTCGATGGTCGTCAGAAGGATGTCGACGAGAATACAACCCCGACATCAATAGGATACGATGTGTTTGTGATCACCTGACAAGCTTTGCCGTCTTAATGGTACATTATTATTTCTTTTCATGTCATTTAATTTCATTAAAAAAAACACTCATGGTAAATAGTTGGAAAAATAGCTATCTTCGTAGAAGTGTCACCGTGGAATACTTCTCGGTATTAGAACCGCTATCGTATATTATACCTTGAATCGCGGTTATTACTATCAATGTTACTGTTGTTCATCTCTCTGCCATGAATGGACCGACTTGCAGGGTTTAGATTTCAGGGTCATTACAACGGTAACTAATTGAACAGTATCACCACCAGAGTGTGAAGTAGGATCTTAAAGTCCGTCTGCACTAGTTTGGCCAGGGAGGATGATACCGCCCAGCATGGTCACTGACAGGTGGTTATCTCTTCAACTCAGCTCTCAATTAACATAAGAAAAAGAGGATCATGGGGGACCGACGGGCACCGCCCAGGCATTGTTTTCTATATAGAGGGAGCAAGTATCTACAAGTAGTGACATGTCGAAAACAGAGGCGGCGTAGCCAAATTGTTTAAACATTTGACTAGTGATACGAAGGTCGTGGGTTCGAGCCACCGTGCGGCACTATTGTTCTTTTGCAATTTAGACATAAATCTTTATTTGCCACTCTTCACCCAGGTGTTAAATGGGTATTGGTATGGGAAGGAATTCCTTGGGTGCACCGGAATCGACAGCCCTCGCCTAGTTCGAGCTGGTGTAATATTGGAGTGGCTTGGATAATGTACGTGGTAGATGTGAGCGCTGTAAAATATTCAATATTACATGGATCATTCATTTGGTGTACCCGTAAACATGTTTTCAAATTTTAAAGTGATTTAATGTGTGTGTGTGTCTCTCTCTTTCCGTCTCCCTCTCTTGCAATGCTTCATTCGTTATTTGTAGGATGTATCTGGAGATATGGGCCTCTACGCTTTAGATGTTTTGGGTATGATCGGCTGTATCATCTTCATCATATGCCTAGTGATTACACTTGTTACCTATCTGAGCACGAAGTAAGTGATCTTTCCTAATATTCCCTCTGACTCATCAAACGTCAATATTTTATATACTTGTGTATTCTTTGACTAACAATCTTGAGAACAGCTTAAACCCGGTTTTGAAGCGGTATTTTGAAACATGTTCTTTAAATCAAAGTATTATTTTTATCAAATATAATATTTCAAAGATTATTTAACCGATCTGTCGTCATGTAAATGGATAGGAATGGATAAAGCTATAACAAAAGATAGGCCTACTATTGCTCAGGAAATGACGATACTTTTAATATGTGGAATAAGTTACTCATTGAATTACTTTCATATGAGTTAATACATAGTGATTGATTTTTATTAATAGCAGTATTATCGTAAGCAAAAATGATGGTTATTCTGCAAACACAATTTGGCAGGAATTGACAAAACTACAAATTTTCAAGTTGTATATGATATTTTGCGACTTTAAAATGTTGCATTTGTAGGTCATATGCCAGAAGAACAATTTATATGGGTGTAAGTCTGCGTTAATTGAGTTTGACAGCACTTTTCATGCTTGATAATTATTATCTTTCGCTTGTGAAACTTTTCGGAACTGGACAAGATTCTGAAGCAGCTCCCTGAAATGTATGCAAAAATCATGTTGAATTGTTCCCAAACCCCAAAAGCTTTAGATGTTTTTCTTTTCGACATTACAATCTGGACATTACGAGAACGGACCCCCGAAAGGTAACATCCACGAGGTAGATGTTCTTTTTAGGGACCATGCTGCCATCATGTCGGCCCGTATCATTCTACAAACTGTAAACGAATATTGATAATCAAATTTGATCACCCTTTTTAATATAAACAGAAAACTACGCTCGAAGCAACCTCAGCGGATCCTGATTAACCTTTGCTTCGCGCTTCTCGGGCTCTATCTCGTGTTCGTCATCGGTATCGACCGCCGTAACACGACCGCGGATTGCGTGGTGGTCGGTTTTCTCATCCATTTCTTTCTGCTGTCGTCGATGTCGTGGATGTTGGTGGAAGCTATCAATATGTACCTCCTCTTCGTCAAGGTCCTAGCTGCCACCGTGTCTTATTTTATGCGTAAGGCCGCGCTTTTTGCTTATGGTGAGTGTCTTGGTCTACTAAGAAAATAATGTGGGGGTGTCGTGGTATAGAGAGTTGTTTACTTGACTCGCAATCCTAGGGTTAGTGGTTCAAGACCGATCCCAGAATTACGGTCCTTTGGCAAGACATTAATCAACACTTGCCACTCTCCACACAGGTGTAAATGGGTACCTGGCAATTGCTGGGGGATACTAAGTTAATAATTACAAGACCTTCATGAAGAACAGCATTGAGGCTGATGAAAAATTCCTGTTTAAACAAAATTATTATCATTATTATCAGATTTTTAAAGGACATGTAAAGTAGTGGTTACTTCCCCAGCGCAAACGATCGGAAAAACTGGGAAAAAAAAGTTATCATTCAGGCAGCGGGAAGTCAATCTTCCTGAGAAAATTAGACCCTGTCACCTATATTGATTTTTTTGACATCTTTAAGTTTTTCCGATATTATATTTTTGTTTACAGGTTTGCCTCTTCTCGTGTGTATCGTAACAGTAGCATTTGATAACTCCCTCTACTTGGGAGACGGGAATTAGTAAGTTAAATATTTAAATTTTCTCATAAATCGTCATCTTGTGTTAAAGGCATAATAATATTTTTGAAAACTGACGTTGAAGGTATCCAATTTCGCCATTTTGTAGTATCATGGAAAATGTGTCGGCCCGTGTAGTTTCATTGTATGTGCAATTATTGATGAGTTGTTTTAATTTTGAAAACCTATGTCGACAAGGTCGTAATTTTGCGTCTTTTCATGGAAACTGTATAGGCCCTTTGAGCATGTACTTATTTCAAAGTAATAATAAATTGTGATTTATTTGCTTCTTGTTGAGTTATCACTATCGCTATCATTTTATATAAATTATTGTTTTTATTATCAATCTTATAATTCGTCAATATTTTGTTGAAGAGAATAACACCGTGATGAGATCGCCTCTCTGTTCTCAAACTTAAGTATGGTGTGTTTTTCTCTCTTCGCTTAACAGTTGCTTTGTCAAGCCGGGTCCAGCCCTGTTTTACGGCGTCTTACTCATCGTCGCTCTCTTACTTGCCGCCAACTTCACCATCTTTGGTATCGTCATGCAACGCTTGTCATGCCGCAAATCCGTCGCTGACAACAAGACCAACCAAGCCAGCCGCGGTGAGATGTGGCGACGGGTCAAGAACGCCGTCGCCATCTCTGTCTTGCTCGGTCTGACATGGTTGTTCGGTTTCCTCGCCATTGGTGGTGCCCGTGTTGTCTTTAACATCCTCTTCCTCGTCTTAAACTCCCTTCAGGGTTTCCTCGTCTTTTTCATGTTCTGCGTCCGGCAGAAGGAGGTCCGTGAGCAGTGGGTGCGATGGATACACTGCAACTTTGCCGAGGTCAAGCCCGGTCAGCGTCGCAGTGACGATTTCGTCAGGGCAAAGTACAAGCATACTGGGTCGCAGGATGGTCGAACGTCCTTGGCGGCTTCGAGCAGTCAGGATATCCAACTGCCAAGTAAAGGGACAGTCAGCACCGATACCACATTGTGACTTCCAGGAAAGTAATACATTTGACATGAATATATTGCTAGACCAGCTGACCAGTGAAAAACACGAGAATAAAATGGGATTGATAGTATTTTATAGTAATATCTTTATATGAGCCTTTTATATTCTATAGTTATGTTAATAGTGCTTAATGTTATTTAATCATACAATGTTTTTTATCGAAAACGAAAAATAATGTACAGTTAAAAACGTAATTCTCATTTAATCCTATATCTTTGTTAGGTCTATGATTCAGCCAAAAGATTAAAATTAATTTAAAGGCTTACTTGAACTTTAACAAACATTAATCTTGCCAGAAACTTAAAAGCTATCAATTTAATTTATTTAGTTGCTTCAACGATTGGAATTTTGTATTGTGCATAGAGAATAATAAGATTAATGAAAAAATATATCCTGCTCTAGCGCTTACCAAGAAAAGAAAGCAAGTTACATCAGCGATTGTCTGCTGGTTTCAGTGTAGTTTATAGAATTGTCAAAGCTAATTACCGTGTTTTAGCTATCTTTGAATCGTTGAGTGTCTATATAGGACACTATATGACGTGTATTGTGCTGCGCTGATATTGATGAGCTAATACATTTACGTTTGCAGTTTGAAGTTTGAAGTTTTTTTTCTTCATACAGGCGTATAAGCGTAGATTTCACATTACAAAAATTAAAGATTTCAAATGAAGTAAAATGTACGGAAAATAGGTAGTACAAAGTTTCGAAATATATAGATGTGACAGGCAAGGTAAAACAATGTAAAATGTGGGGAGCATAAGTAAAAAGCATAGCTCGTATGCGAATAGGCTCCCCTACTGAGTATTAAAAAACACAATATAGTAGGTCTGAATTTAAAAGGTATTATAGGAGGCGAAAACGGAGTAGTATAGTATGAGATTCTGGAAACGTACAAGGAGAGTGAACTTGAGAAGAAAAGAAAATTAGAATAAGGAAATATTATAATGATGATAAGTATGAGAATGTGAAGAAGGGAAGAAAGGAGAAGAAGAGGAAGACGAGAAAGAAGTGGAAGAAGAAGAGGCAGAAGAAGAAGAAAAAGTAGAAGAAGAGAAGGCAAATTGATGAAATCAATGGCATTGTAAAATAATAAAAGTCTGTATAACTACCTGTACGATCCAGCGCGGCATCAACATTAATATTATACATATTTATTTTATTTATTTGAACATATTTCATCAGGATAACAAGATCAGAAAGGACTGGTTTACATCCTGGTCCTGAATATTAAAAGCTTACACTAAAACATCAAAACAGAATAATCATACATATATAATGAGAATTGTTAAAATACTCATGAAGTCATGATAAAAATATATAGTGACCATAATCTTGAGTAAAAACCAAGTCAAAAATACATGATATTTAATTAAATATATAAAAACACAATAATGGAATCACGTAATCAACTAATCTATTCAAAATCAAAACTCTATCACACTACAAAATGAACTTATATCATGAAGTACCAAATTAAACTTAAAGCAAAAAGAGCAAAAACAACGATGATATTATTCATAATTTGCTGAAATAGGTTTTTTTATACATGTTTTTAAAACAGTCGATGGATTGTGCATTTTGTAGGTTAGAGGGTAAATTATTCCATACTTTGCCGCCTTCGTAACGTAAACTATTCTTGAAAATTTCAATACTAGGCTTGGGAAGGACAACACTCATTGAGTTAGCCAATCTCGTATTCATTGGATGCCGTTCAAAAACCATGTCAATAGCATTGCACAAACGTAATGGAGCGTAACCATAGATACATTTATACATTATACAAGCAAGGAAATAGTTACGTCTTTCTTCTAAAACCTGCCATTTCAATCTTTTAACAATATCAAGACCACTTTCATTAAAATCAAAATTCCGTTCAACTATCCTTGCTGCTCTTTTTTGTAATCTAAAAATAATGTTCTTGTTGTAAACAGAACAATTCCCCCATATCGAGCATGCATAATCTGATATAGGTTGGATTATACATTTATAAATTTTATTCAACACATTCGTATCGGTGAAATTACTGACCTTTTTCAAAGAAAATATTTTATAAGCTAACGATTTACTGAGCTTCTTTACATGGATATTCCAGGTTAGGTTTTCGTCCAATTCAATTCCTAAGTACCTAATGTCTTTTTCTTGTTTGATTTTATTTCCATCCAAAGAAATGTTTAAATCCTGACTATTTTGCGAGTTGCGTTTCAATAACATACTGTAAGTTTTTTCAGTATTAACTTTTAGTTTATTTCTTTTATACCACTTACTAATTCCCTCTAGATCAGCCTGCAGCTTATCCCTAATAACTTCGATATTCTTATCAGAAATATATATAACAACGTCATCAGCATATATATTGCATGAACATGATCTTAGACATTCACTTATATCATTAATAAAAACAAGAAAAAGTAAAGGACCCAGTGCACTGCCCTGGGGTATTCCAATAGACAGACTCTTAAAATTAGACAGTTTCTCATGACAATAAACAGTTTGTTTTCTACCAGACAAGTAGTTTGAAAACCATATCAACTCATTATTCTGAACACCATATCTTTCCAATTTTTGCAGTAATAACTTATTATCGATACAGTCAAAACATTTCGATATATCGAGGAAACAAGTACCAACCATTTCACGTTCATTAAAAGAATCATACCAATCATCTAAAATCTTATGTAAACATGTTGTTGTCGAGTGGTTCGGTAAAAAAGCATATTGATCAATATTTATAAAGTTGTGTTTTTGAAGATATAAAAGTAATTGACTCTGAATTTCTTTTTCCAGTAATTTAGCTAAGTGACATACCCCCGAGATGGGCCTATAATTAGTCATATCACCCAAATCCCCTTTACCCTTATAAATGGGAGTGGTCCGAGCAATCTTCCAGTCTTCCGGTATTAATCCGCTTAACAGACTTTCATTAAACAATACACTCAGAGAGGTACTTATATAAGACGATGCTATTCTAAGTAGTTTGGTATCAAAATTTAAAATATCAAGACTTGAGTCACTCGATAGCTGGGAAAGGATCTTTCTAACCTTTTCAACTGTAACTGATTGGAATCCGAAAGTGTATGTGCTATCAGGATGATTCCATATAAAAACTTCATTTTGAAATGAATCAGAAATTTGCTTTCCTATATTTACAAAATATTCATTAAAATCATCACCATTCAAATTATTAGGGATATCTGTATTAGTAGATTTCCGTCCTATAAACTTATTTATTTCTTTCCATAATTTCTTACTATCACCTTTATACTTCTCTGTAACAGTACTGAAATATTTTCGTTTTTTATTTTTAATAACTTTAGTAACATTATTCCGCGTCCGACGATACTCAGACAAAATATGAGGTAGTTTGAGCTTGTCATATTTCTTTTTTAAATAATCTCTCTTATACATAAGTTTTACAACATCAGAAGTAATCCATGGATTGTGACGATCCTTAACTCTACATTCTTTCATTGGAGCATGACTATTGCAAACTTCATCGAAAGAGGTTTTCCATTTGGTCCACATTTCATTTACAGATAAATTGCTGGTAAGTATATCATTAAGGTTTAAACAGTTTTTCAAGTCTTGAATGAAGGTTTTCTCATCAAAATTCTGGTAGTCTCGAAAACGAACTACTTTATGTTTAACTTTCACTTCTTTTTGTAAATTGATACATGTATAAATCAAATAGTGATCACTTAGGGCTATTTTAGCAACATCACTAATTAAGTGCTTGTCCGGTATAGAACTAAGAATGTGATCTAAGCATTTCGATGAGGTACTTGTTACTCTTGTAGGTTTTAAAATCATTTGTCGTAAAGAGAACAAGTTTTCCAGTAGGTTAATAGGATTATCGTCATCGATTTTATAGTCATAGTTAAGATCCCCTAATACAACTATATCATAATTATCCATACTAGCTTTTTCAAAGATATCAAGCATGCTGTTAAAATAATTCATATCTGAATTTGGTGGTCGATACACACAACCAATCGTAATTTTTTCAGATTTTAGTGATAAATCTATCCATTTTGCTTCTAGTAAATCATTGTTCAAATCACATCTTTCAGCAAAAAATAAAGTATCGCGGATAAATTGACATACACCTCCGCCTCTTTTACCATTACCTCTATCTCTTCTTACCAGAACATAGCCATCAATTTTCACTTCAGTATTACTGATCTTTTCATGTAACCAGGTTTCGGTTAAACAAAGTATGTCAAAGTTAATCTTTTTTATCAAAAAACGTATCTCATCTATTTTATCACTTAAGCTACGAACATTAAGGTGACCAATTTTTAGTCCACTGTATTTGGATAAACGAAAGGCACATTTACAGTATTCACTTTGAGGAGACTTTCCTGAGTTCACTTTCTCTTGTCCATCGACAGCATTTAAGTCAATGGCACACTCTTCTTGGCCATCGACTTAGTATTGACACATTTTCTCTTTGTGGCCAAATTCAAAACATCGTCGGCACTGGAGTTGTATTCCATGTCTACATTTGTGTTCGCGGTGATTCGGTTCACCGCAGAATCTACAGCTTGCTGGAAATTCGTAGAAAGTGGGCGGGGCTCGGACTACTGAAGCATACGACTGTTGTTGATTGCCAAAGTATGGATCTAGGTACGCATTTGTTGTTCCCTGATTGCTCTGTGAGTTGGGGTTAAAGGGTCTTGGTTGAAGAGATGGAGGGGCCTGAGTGCCGTTATGCGACTGGTAGTATGACAATGGAGGTTGCATACGTGCATGAGAGTTGTATTGTGTAGGTCGATATTGAGGAGGGGGTCGAACTGGTCGAGGGGGTGGGGGGTTCGTGTAGCCACTCGTGTGATTCATTGGGTGGGCAGGTAAGACTGGAAAGCTATCCTGGGAACGGGCGATATCCGGTGGAACCTGACTTCTATTTTGTTGTGTCGATGGGCGATTGCTTTGTTGATATTGCTGGGGTGGGTTGATCTGAGCATTCCGAGGATTGTCTATTA